ATTTTTCTCTAACAAATAATATACTTTTGAAATATAACATTTTCAACTTACTGTGTTTAACAAACTTTAGTTATTACACAAGTAAATATATAATTTTACTTCACTAACATTGTTATTCCCCTCCTGATAGCTCTTGGACACCTTTTTTTTGGAATATTGATATAACAATTTGTTTAACAATACTTGTTTTGTATTAAAAATTAAATTGCACATGAATGCCCTTGTTTAAATTGAAAACACTATAACAATCGAATTATAAAACTATATTCCAAAGTACAAAAAAATATTAGCAATTAAATAACTTTAAACTCTAATGCGCTATCTTATCTTTAACGAATTGTATGATTTTTTTATCAACTATATTTGTAGAAAATTATTTTGTACACATTGAGTAGCATAAAAAAATTACGCTTTTATTTAAAATTAAATAGAACTATATTTCCGTGATCTAACATTGATGTGAACAATGGATTAGTGAAGTGACTTCGTCATATATCTTAAAAATTAGTGTACCAATTTAAAATAATTACTGGTGGTAGATAAATAAGTTATACTAAATATTTGCAATGTGTTTTTAAATGAGATTGAATTATTTTGATGAGGTGAAGAATTTTTTATCTAAATTCTCTGGTTCTAAGAAGATAGATAAACTATTTTGTGAACTATGATTCATATTTTCTTTAAAGCTCACATACAGTATATTATATATTGTACATATTCAAACTGAAACACCTTGTTTGACCTATATTATTTACATAATTATGTTTAACAAAAATATGTTTATTTAAATTTCTTGGATTAAAGTATACAAACAAATATTGTATTATCTAAATTTTTTTAAATGAATTTTATTTTTAATTTAACATAATTCTTACCTTGAACGCATGTCTACTGAAAACGGTAGAATCCTGCATAATAGATAAGAATAAATAAATTAATGATAAGATTAATAAGTGTAATATTTATCAAGGAAAGCCAATATAATACCTCAAAATCAGACAACTATGACACCTTCTAATAATGACTTTTTGGGGAGAAATTATTAGTAAGAAAATAAGTCAAGAAAAGAAATTTAGTGAACAGGGTTTTTTGCCTACATGTCAATTGTGCGATAAAATTATCAAAACTAGTGCTATCAAATGTAGCAAATGTTCGCGATATCTACATACCAAGTGTTTCGAAAAAGCCGCACATATTTTCGATATAGAAAAGGACTATTGGCAGTGCAGGGAATGTTTGAAAAGCAACAAATTGCTAGATCTCGATGTAGTCAGGATAGAAAATCAGTGTTTAAAGGATCAAGTTAGGGTTTTAACTAAACTGGTCAGTGAGCAAGATTTTACCAACTGTATACAAAAGCAGAAGATAGCCGTCTTTCAGAATAAAAATGCAAATATATTAGAAGTATGTATTATTTTATTATTTGTATCTTGGATTTTATACGAGGCAATATAAATCAACAAATTATTACCAAATATAACTTAATCAACACTTTCAAAAATAAACTTAATAATGTTATTTGACATAATTGACTTTTCCCATTATTCGACAATTTCGCATTACTCATGCGCGAAAAAAGCGCGGGACTTTTGAATCTATTAATTTTCAAAACACTTTCTGCTGTCTCTTTCTTATCCTCGCCTTACAACTGTTGGGTTGGCTACGACGATTACCTCATCGTTACTTTAAACAACTGTCATCGATTCTATATAGTAGTGAACCAGTGAAACTTTTTTAGTATACATTTACAGAAGGCTAAATTATAAATTTATCTTGCCCTGTAGATTACTGTAGAAGATGAAAATACTTTATTGCAATCAATCTAGCGGTGAAATGCCCTGTCAGCAAGCAATAATTTCAATCCCAGGATTCGAATCATATGTGATTTGAATCCTCCCCAGCTCTGGTATTTATATGCGCCGACACGATAATTCTAGAACGAAATCTCCGATCGACTTGCGGTTTTGACTTTACTAATTTTTTCAAACTGAGAACCTTATTAATTTACACAATTTTAGCTTAGTATTTTTAAAATGCAATACATTCCTTATGGAGCTTATTTTATACACTCCGACACGAGTACTGATTTCACAATTTCATTAGATACTTGTCGACACTGAAACCACAGACATTTTTTCTATAATAAACGCCAAAAAAAAATATTTTTTAAAACATCTTTTATTTTATTTGAATGGTTATTGGAAGCGATATATAGGTGAAAATAATTGTTTCTAACATACGAAGGGGGAACTTAAATGACAGAATACAGAACTCCCCCCCCCCCATCAACCCCCTTTGCACCATCTACCTTACCAAAAAAAAATAGCAACCCCCTACTTCTCATACATCACTGGAGGGCTAGTAAAAAATGCTTTTCAATTATATAAAATTATACCATACATAGGGTGGTTCAATATTATATAATAATTAAAAATCTATTTAAAAAAGAAAATTGCATGTTTCTCTAAATTAAATATTTTAAAATATTTTTAATCCGAGAGGAGTACAAAATAAATTGTTTTCATTAGATTTTATATTTCTGATATTATCTTTAGTCCGTGAGATATAGCCTTTATACGTTTTTTAATTGTCACCTTTATAGGATACTGAAGTAAAGATGATTTTTGCTCGAGTTTTAATTCATTTTAGAATAATGGTCGCATCTGAATTTTATATTAGGATCAAATAGGTAAAGGGTCCAAATATTTTTACACATGGGGCCAAACACTTACATGTGCAGACGTATGGGACAAAGGAGCCAAATATTTTTAGACAGGGCATGTTTAAGTGGTAAAGGGCCCAAATATATTTATATCGGTAGGCTTAAGAGGCAAAGGTCCCAAATATTTTTAAGGGATAAATAAGAGACCAAATATTTTTACATGGGTAGTCTTAAGAATTTACTCAAATATTTTTACATTGTCGGGGGAAAATGGTTCAAATATTTTAACATGGGCAAGCTTTAATTTTTTTGTTATAAAAACTACCCTTTTCCCCCAACGACTTGAAGAGCTTGTTTGATTAAATTGGCATTAAAAACATCACAAATTGTAGTGTTTTCATGCAGATAATCTATTAGAAGAATTCTAGAAAATGTGTATTACATTTATGCCCTTTTTAAAACTGATTAACCCAATTAATTTTAAAACAATTTAACAAAATTAAAAGGGATTTCAGACATTTTCCTATTTTAACATCTACTAGTTAAAAAAATATTTTTTTTTGTCCGTCTCGCAAAAATGACGACATTTATTGGTTGCTAAGGATACGTAAAATTGGCTATTTTTAACCATAACAAATTTTTTTTTTCAACACAATTTAAAAATGTTAAATGATTATATTTTTTGAACGCAAAGTAGCACGCAATGTGTTTACCCTCTGGTCACGTCTTTACAAAAAATTATGACTGAAATTTTGTACTCGTTAACTTCAAGGAGAAAAAATTCTTAAATATACAGAGGATGAAAAACATTTCCCGTAATATTAAAGTTTTTACATATTGCCCTCTTGAGAAAGCAATTTGACCGCTACTGCAGTCACCTGATCCAATTCAATTAACTAGGGCATGCATGCTTGCAACTTTTTTTCGTATTACATAATTTCTCTAAGCCTATTACAGAGTTAGTTGTAGAAACATCGGAAGAATTTTATGCTTTCACAATCCCTCTTAAGTTTATCCATTTAAAATAATGTGTTTTTATTATTTGTGTCAGTATTTATTTTGTGGAGAAAATTATACAAAAGGTTGGTATTTAAAATATAGTATTACTAATCAATGTAACTATATTGATAAATGGTAATCAGAATGAAATGAAAAAAATTGTGATAATATTCTTATTATTTTTGACGTTCAAATATCGGATATTTTAGTAGATAATTTATTAAATTGAAATTACTTCATACCACAAGTTTTTTTAACCGACTTCAATTCTCAATTCGTCGCGATATTTTTTTTTATGTATGTTCAGCGATAATTCTTTAACACGGTGTCCGACTTCAATGATTCTTTTTTGTTAGAAAGGGGGTACTTCAGGGGTGGTCCCATATAAATTTGGTCAAAATCTAATAATTGGGTCCATGACAAAATCCTCAAACTCTTCATTTTTTATGTATGTTTAGCGATAATGCTTTTCCACCTTGTCCGATTCATATGATTCTTTTTTGGTTAGTAAGGGGGTATCTCAGGAGTGGTTCCATATAAATTTGGTTAAGATGTGGTGACGGCATCTGCACGTTTTTGAAGTCTGTTTTTTTAAATTTTTAATATCTAATACTTGTTTAATTTTATAAGATTAACGGATAAAAACAATATATTTTTTTTTCGGAATTTTAAATGTAAATTGGTTATGTACAGAAAATTACAAATTTTTGATATGGTGTAGTTGAAGCCAAAAAAATATTGGGCTAAAGTTCTAGCTCTAGACTAGCCCATAATGATATTGTCCCAGAATTTAATGACAAATCGATTAAGACTGGCACCAGAGTCATAGTTTCGGGCAAGCTGGTCCTCCCCAAGCCTGATTGGGGGGAATCTGCCGGAACTCCTTAGTTGGAGCAGAGGGATGCCTGAAAGGGTGAAAAAAATAAAAGCAAACCGAACACTTTGAAAATTGAATTGCAAAAAAACATTTACTACTCGCTATTCTGTATTAAATCTATGAAGATTTTCTGCTTTCTTTTTGTTTGAATAAATATCTAGTAGTTTTTATTATGGAAGGTTTCCCACCTTTTTTTTCATAAACGTCTCTGTAGAGTGCTGCCTTATCGGTGCACAAATTTAAAGCTCTCAATATTCTCTAGACCCAAAATATCGCCAAGTATTCCCAATGGCGATCATATAAATACAATTTTATAAAAATACTAACAACATTTGTGCTTTTCGCGAGAGGTCCGGTTTGCTCTTAAGTTAAGATCTGATAAATTATTCAAGTAGTGTTAGTATTATTATTTTTTAATCTACTCTACATATTTTAATATTTCAAATATTTGTTTTTCTTCAGGAAAACCTTGTCGAAAGTAAGCACCACAAGCTCGCTAGATCTTTGAGAAGCGGCCATTGTGATAAAGATGCCAAACCAAATGCGACTATGCGAGATATTCTCAACACCATTGTATCTTATCCACCTACTAAGAATTTATCAAACGAAGAACAAGATCATGTTTGGAAGTATCGATTCTACTTAAGTACTCAAAAAAAAGTAAACATATTCTTATATCAATCTGTCAAATAATTTTTTGTAATACGTTATTTTTAGGCATTAGCAAAGTTCTTAAAATGCGTCAACTGGAATCAACACAATGAAGTAAGACAGGCTTTACACATGATGGAAATGTGGGCCCCTATGGACGTGGAAGATGCTTTAGAATTGTTAAGTTCGAACTTTGCTCATCCTGCTGTAAGAAGATATGCTATTTCTAGGCTCCAGCAAGCTCCTGATGATGAGATTTTATTATATTTATTGCAGTTAGTACAAGCTTTGAAATATGAAAATTTCAAAACGATTCAAGAAGGTAAAAGATAACACGGCATAATTATCTTTAGTTTAATTTAAAACATTTTAGGTTATACAAGAATATCTCCAGGTCGTGATCCATATTTTCCATATGAGGAAAAGGAAGCACAGCTTGAAAAGAAAGACAGCAAAGAAAGCAATAGTACTCTGACTAATGAACCATCTTTAAATAGGTAATTATTTTTTCAAATATGATCATGTAAAAAACAAATATATTATGCAATAACAATTTTTTCACAGGTAAAAAAAATAACTGTGAAACAGATTCTTATTGATAATTATGATTAAAAAGTTAATTGATTTTCAAACTTAATATCTTTAAAATAACAATCTTATCACTAAAAGTTTTGTCATTCCACCTTCTGAATTTTTGAAGTTTTGTCATTCGACCTTTTGTATTTTTGAAGTTTTGTCAATCAAGCTTATTTCACAAACTCGGGATCTGTATGTATAACATAAAATTCAAATTATGCACACTCTAATAAAGTTATGGTATTTAGTATTTATAAGCGTTTTACTCAGTTGGGTGTCTTTTTTAAATGTTAATAAGTTGTATTATATTGACTATTACTTTTGTTTGTTTTGTTAACGCAGATCTTCTAGCTATAACCAAGCTGACCAAATCGCTGCATCAAACGTCAATAGTATTATAGAAAATCCCGATCAGAAACCTAGTGGACTTCCAGACAACCTTTTACAAAATCCCATTACTGATAGTGGCAACACTGATACTTTACGTAGTCATATATATGAAGAGGAGGAAATTCAGGATTTAGCGTCGTTTTTGATTCACAGAACTTGTAAAAATTTCAGTCTCGCGAATTATTTTTATTGGTATTTATTATTGGAATGTGAAGATCAAGATACGAATTTAAAACAGGATATCAGTGATGTGAGTAATTCCTATAAGTTGAGATCAAATGTCTAAAAATATAGAGTTTTTATGATAAATATGTATTGATATTATTTTTAGGAAGCTGTTAGAAATATGTATCTCACAGTAATGAAAACCTTCTCACAAACCTTAGCCCGAGGTTCAGATTCTATGCAAAAGAAGCGACATATTCTAACAAAACAACAAAAATTCATTGATAAACTTGTCAAATTGATGAAAACTGTTTCAAGAGAGAGTGGAAATAGAAAGAAGAAAGCTGAAAAACTTCAACAACTTTTAGCAGATTCCGACAGTTTCAAATTTAATTTTTCGAAGTTTGAAGCCATCCCCTTTCCATTGGATCCAGAAATCATGATTAACGGGATTATTCCAGAGAAGGCCAGTTTGTTTAAATCTGCACTGATGCCTTCTAAACTATATTTCAAAACGGTTTGTATTTTTTTAAATAAATGCTTATAAATTAGTTTAAATTTCAAGTGAAATAAGTTTTTAATTTTGTCACTCACTTCATAATAATCATAATCAGAATTCATCTCAACAGTAAAAGAAAACACTTGAAAATATTTCAGGTTGAGAACGACGAGTACGTCGCCATTTTTAAATTAGGTGACGATTTACGGCAGGATCAACTCATCCTACAAATGATAACACTGATGGACAAATTACTAAGTAAGGAAAACTTAGATTTGAAATTGACACCCTACAGAGTTCTGGCTACCAGCACAAAGCATGGATTTGTGCAGTTTATAGAATCTGTTACTGTAGCCGAAGCTTTAGCTACTGAAGGTAAAATTAATTATATATGGGAATGTTTTTATTATTTCTAATGTATTTTACATAGTGCAAATAGTATATGCTTTTGATTCAAAATTTACTTTTACAGGAAGTATACACAATTATTTTAGAAAATATCACCCTCAAGAAAGTACTGCTTACGGTATAGTTCCTGATATAATGGACACATATGTAAGATCATGTGCTGGTTACTGCGTCATTACTTATCTATTGGGAGTGGGTGACAGGCATCTTGATAATTTACTGCTGACACAAGATGGAAAACTATTCCACATAGACTTTGGATATATATTGGGAAGAGACCCTAAACCTTTACCACCACCCATGAAACTAAGTAAAGAAATGGTAGAAGCAATGGGAGGAGTTAATTCTGAACATTTCCAACAATTTAGGAAGTTGTGTTACACCGCCTTCCTTCATTTGAGAAGGTACTTAGTTACTATGATAATTTCAAATTCAATATTTTTTACCATATCTTAAACTTGTAATAACATCATGAACATTTCAAAGAAAATACCTGGAAGTAGTGTAGCTCTTAATAGACTTCTACATCTTTTACAGAATCTATTCATTTATCACCTGTAATATTTTTAGGCATGCAAACCTTATGCTGAATTTGTTCTCACTCATGGTGGATGCAAGTGTTCCAGATATTGCTCTAGAACCTGACAAGGCTGTCCGTAAAGTTCAGGATAAGTTGAGATTAGATTTAAGTGAAGAAGAGGCAGTGCATTATATCCAAAATTTGATAGAAACTTCTGTAACAGCAATAATGGCGGCTTTTGTAGAGCAACTTCATAAAATAACTCAGTATATTAGGAAGTAGTATGTTATGTATTAGACAATTAAAGTGTATTTATTATGTTTTTGTAAATAAGGTTTTATTAAATTTTTTTTATATAAAATTTTATAGTCTTCCAAAATATTACCAAATTATCCTTGAAATCAATATATTTCAAAAATCTGGGAATATTCACAAAAATATTTCATAAACTACCAATTACTTAAAATACAACTTCCGATTTCTAACAGTCTCAGAAGCGGGAGTTATGTTTTCACAAAATCTAAAATAACGGTTAAAAAGTGAATTACTAAGGCTCCCTAAACAGGTATAATTGGCAAACCCTAATCAAAAGCAGTGGCGTGCGGTAACATTTAACAATTTACCACATTATTATTGTTCACAGGCACAGTGCATAATTCCGCCATTTTACAAAAAGAAAAACAACTACGAAAAACAAACCGAAATCTATCTGAAGTCTACGATTTTCCTCACACGTCGATTCGCGATGCGAATTGCAATATGTGTAAGGCGACGTAAAAATCGCTGCCTCTCGACTGTATTTCACGTGCACAAACAGACTGACTACTGTTACGGCAAAGCGGGTCAATAACTCGAAGCGAAATCAATTGGAAGATGAGCCGGCTTTTTCAAGACGCGCTTCCGCCGAAGGACTTGAAGTATATGGTGTGTGCGTTTACACAATGAATTTTCTCATGGGTGGTGCGTGCGTTTACACATTACACCAATGAATTGTTAGTACATTTACGAAGTTTACGTAATGTTTCAGAGAAAATATAGTACCTAATTTAATATTAATTTCTATGCATTCTAAGCAGAAAAATATTTATTTTTAAATCTCAAAGTGTAGGGAAGCGGTGCTTCCCCCGCTTCCATGGACCGCACGCGCCTGATCAAAAGGCAACATGAAATGGTTCTTGAAAACCTGAATATTCGTCTCAATACTTCTAATTGGCTTCCAGTCTTTTGTTCAAAATCAGATAATTTATTTTATGTCCAGTTTGCTTGTGTGGTACTCAGTCTCGATAAGGTAGGAACCACCAATTTAGTGTCTTTCAAATTTCATCTTAAAGTGATTAAATTAATAGTAAAATTATTGTAGTACTTTTTTAAGTAAAATGAAAACAAATTGTGAGATAATGAATGTAAGACAATTCTGAATTTTTACAATTTCGAGGGTCCTTTATTGCAAGACAAAATTTGCTTGGTAAATTGTCCTAGCAATATAGCCCAAAAAACGATTTAAGGAGTAAACCACCACAATAAAAATATTAAAAGAAATAGGAAAAATTGAAATATTGTAAATTTCTTAATATGAAGCATCTTGAACCAATCGGTATTTTTCATAAATGGTTAAACAACTTTAAAAACTAATGAATTGGGTTTCACACATTATATTTCTGTTATTCACCTAATAATACAAAGTATTAAGAGAAAAAAGATATTTATGATTTATGCAGCAAGTGCATACTGTAAAGCAGTAGACTTTATCAATGCCATACTTGCCTAAGGTAAATAAACCAGGATAAATTTCATTGATCATGTTAAAAATGAAAAACTAATACAAACCTGGAGAACTTAGGCAAATGGATTATAATCTGAAGTGTACATGAATTTTATTTTTTTACTCGTAAGCCACTTTTTTAGAAGACCTGGGGGTCGATTCTCGACTCCTAGGAATATTTTCCTATAGGAATTTTTGACATTTTTATATACATCGAAAATTTATGACAGTTTCCTACATATAGGAAAGTGTCACAAATTCCTATAGGAAAAGGTTCCTACAAGTCGAGAATCGACCCCCTGTAGTATACAGCTAGTTCAAATGTAAAAAATATTTACAATAAATAACAGGTAGTCTATGTGTATATTTTTTCTTATTTGCATCTAACAACCTGAAAGGAGCAGCATTTATAGCTCTTCTATAGCCTTATTTGAGATGCAAAAGGGAATAGTAACTAGCTAATATATAAAATACAAGAAATTTGTGTAAATGAACAAAAAATGCATATACTAAATTTAAACTTTTAATCAGTTTCTTAAAAAAAAATAAAAATACAATTTAAGCAACCAAAGCAGAGGCTGTACTAGATTCGTACTTCCAGTTGGGAGCAAGAACTGATTTAGTCTTGTAGTACCTGGCCAAACGGTGGATACGTGATTCAACCAAAATTAAACGGAATTTGCTGTCCTTGTCCTTCCTATTCCTTTCCAAATGCTTGCGGATAGCTACAGCCTTTTTGATAAGGTAGTACAAATCTTCTGGTAGATCAGGGGCTAATCCCATGGCCTTCATAATTCGCAAAATTTTGTTTCCAGAAACAAATCTTACTTGGGCTACACCATAGGAATCCCTGAGGATTACACCAATTTGTGATGGGGTCAAACCTTTCTTTCCTAACTTGAAAATGTGGTCCTTAACTTCCTCGGGAGTTACTTTGAGCCATGTAGGGACACTTCTTCTGTAGGGTAATGCCGATTGGGCAATACCTTTACCAGGTGCGTGCATACGACCCATTTTTGTTATTTATTTAAAATTAATTCACGTATTTCACGTTTACTTAACGCACACGACGTCCACGACGTTTCCGCAAAATGGATTCGTTCAAAAAGGATAGGCAACCTGTGAGAACACGTGGTCTTCTTTTTATTTAGTTCTTCATTTTTAACTTTAATTGTAATGTCAATTATTATATTCGTATTCAGTTACCTATAGCGATGTCTGTATACAAAGGTAAACTTGGGATAAACGTAAACGCCTTAAGGGTCGATTCCACCGTTGTGTTAAACGAAGTTTAAATTACTAAGAACCGATTCCACCATTGTGTTAAACGAAGTTTAAAATGACATTTTTACATTAACAGTGTCATTTTAATCTCCGTTTAACACAACGGTGGAATCGGCCCTAAACGAATAATAAAATGACCTTGGCAACGTAAAAATATCATTTTAATCTTTGTTTAACACAACGGTGGAATCGGCTCTTACAGCAATATGTTTTGATGAAAAAATTCACAAGACCGATTCATTCAAAACTTTAATTTGATTTATTAATAAATCTAAAATCGGCATAAAAAGATTAAACTTACAAAATTAAATTCATTCATCTCTTGTCTGTATACCTGTAGATAAAATTTGTCTCTGACCTAATTAAAATAAGAAGATATTCCACTAGAACTACTAAAAATTTGTCATCTGTCAAAACGGAAAACGGGGGGGAAAAACTCAGGTCAGGGGTCAGGAGTCAGTAGCTAAATATAACTTTTTGCGATTATTTATGTTAAGTTGGATAGTTATATAGATTAACTGAAAAAGAATCATTTAATTTTGAGAGAGTGTTCATTTAGAAAAAAAATATTAAATTAAAGAATAATATTTATCTTGAAATATTGGAGAAATATCTGAATGCTCGAAATTAGTATATTGCGAAACATGAATACGGTTCTGAGTATCATTAAAGGAAGACAACCAATCATTTTTAGTTTGTCATGTTTATAGGCGTGGTCAATGAATTTCTAATTACAAAACATATTCATATTAATAAAAATGAAAATTTGAAAGAGCATTTAATTACCAAAGATAGAGATAAGACTTCTCTCTGTTTAATTACAGGGTTTAATACGAAAATATTTTATTTTAAAACTTACAATTAAATACCTAGTCAAAATGTGGTGTACTAATTTTTTATTTTGTATTGTTTTTAGTCTTGTGTGTGAATTTTGTAAGTATTTGTATTGATGTTTATTTTTTCTAGATCTTTTACCTTTTCTTAAGTTCTATTTGCATTTACCATTCGAATCATATATATTTTTCTGTTAAACTTATATTTGATAATGTTTACTACTTTTTTGATTGACTAAAAATATACGGTGAAAAAATCTTATTACCCTGTGAAAATAGCAATTTGTTTTTTATTAGCTCTTGCCCTAAACTGCTATCAATGTTCAGGAAGTGACCCAAAAGATCCTTTTCAATGTAATGAATGGTTGAGTAGTGATATTGATATTGAACCACAAGCCTGTGACAATGTTTATGCTGCCAAGTATTGCATCAAACACGTTGGCCGATTTGAAGGTACCCCAAAAGTACTTACACTGGATGAACTAACAAACAATTTAACTATTCTATTAATATTATTGGTGTCTGGGCTGTAACAATACTAATCAACCATTTATAAATTATTAATATTCCACTTTGGGGTTGTCAACATTGCAGTGATACTGACCCAGAGAAAAAATAATTTTGTCGAGAAATACACAAAAGATCTTTTTTGCTTTCACATTTCAACTCATCAGCCACTTACTAGTCCTAGTGTTACCCTCAGGTGCATTTATTTCAGTGTTGCAGCACCTCCTGGAGAATTTTAATCTAAACCTAGAGCCCAGAGACTCTGGGTCAAAATGACATTGTTGGCAACCCTATTCCACTTGTGACTGACCATATACTAATTTATTTCTTAATTAAAAGCTTGTGCTGTAAAATGCTTCCAATGTTCATCTACTAAAAACATAGATTGTGCAGATGGTTTAATTCATATGGGTGGATTGGAGTCCCAGAGTTGTGATAATGTTTATGGTGCTCATTACTGCATTAAATCTACTGGTCTAGATGGTATGAAATTGTGTATGGAGCTTGGAATGCCAATGTTTTTGCTGCTGATTTTTTTTATTGTAAAGTTTATTAATACATCACTATATCTGCACTGATTTTATATAGTAGAAAAAAGTAAATATATCAAGGGACTGAAGTGGTTCATGTAATCCAGCATGTTAATGAATTTAATCCCTTGGTACCTATATACTTTATATTTTGCACATTGTAGATAACTTGCAAATTGTTCATTTGATGTCATTTACTTGTTGCTAGACCTAACTCGCTATTTGAAAGGTATATTGTAGGTAGATAAGAGGTATTCCTTGAACGACCTCAGCAAAATAGCAAAAATCACAAATAGGAATTTTTACTTAGTTTTTGAAGAAAACCCGTTTAATTTGGCATTTAGAAGCAAATTGATATTAAAATACTATGATTCTTTAGTATTCTAATCAGATTATGAATGCCAACAATTATGTCTCATCAAATTGATATTAAAATATTCTCGATATTTAGATTCAACAAAAATAGCCGACTATTATCAAGGTCTTGGTATATTACCCTTGACTATCTTCCTAGACCAAATATCAGCAACTATTTTTCTAAAGAAATAGTCAATATTTGGTCTAGTGAAATAGTCGTCCTAAATATAACACAACCTTGATTATTGTTCTATTTTTGTTGTTACTAAATTTCTCGAACATTTTACAATTTGATTCTATATAATTTTGGCAGCTAAAGCTCTCGAGCTCTAATCAGATTATTAATGCCAAAAAGTATGTCTCATCCAACTGATATTAAAATATTTTCGAGATTTAGATTCAACAAAAACAGTTGACTATTATCAAGGCCTTGGTATATTATCTGATAATTTTTAAAATAAAAAAAATATATATGTACGCGCCATTATATATAAAAATTTCCTGCTTCTTGTTTCAATAAATTTCTAGTAGTTTTTAAATGGGAGAGTTTCCCACCTTTTTCCTTAAAAGTCTCTGTAGAGTGCCGCATTATCATTGCACAAATTTAAAGCTCTCAGTATTCTCGGACACATAATATCGCGAAGTATTCCCAGTGGCGCGCATATAAATAAATACAATTTTGTATTAGAAAATCCTCACATTTTTGCTTTTCGCGAGAGGTCCGGTTCACGGTTCGTAGACAACACGGTGGCCTCTTCCTTCCGTTGCGTGACGTCACGGAATGAAAAATCGAGCCGACAGAAAATATTGTGCTGAAGTTCGTAATTAGTTTTTTAAAAAATCAAATATGTAGCAAACCCCTTTTTCAATAATGTAGGTTCTTTTAGTAAAGCCCTTTGCCTTTTCTTGCTCTTCATTGTATTTAATGCTTATAAGAAACCATCTCGTCTGCTTTTAAATGTAAGGTGGACAAAGCTGCAATTAATTTAATAATAGTGAATGATATTTTCAGAATAATACTCTCAAATCTTACCATTAGCCTTTAATTTCAGTTTAGGCTCAGTCCCTTTATTTTTTCTAACGATTTTTGTGTGTATAAAAATTAAAAATAGTTTAAAGCAACCCCTATGTCTCGCTCCATCCAGGCTTGTCAAAATTTTAAAATATTTCTGGATATAAACAAAGTGTGATCCGAATTCAGCTCAGAGACCGTACCCTAACTCAAAATATTTCAAATAAACCATTCACACAATAATATTTCTCTTATTTCAAATAAAAAGTAATTCATTTGAAATTTTATGCAAATCATTACATGATTTTTCCTTGTTGTTTCGTAGCTCGTCTTTCAAAAAATCAAACTACCGATATTATAATAGTATATTATTTAACGAGCGGTAATGGAGGTCATAACTCACGCAGATGAAGTTTGCAGCACGAGCCGCAGGCGAGTGCTGTAAATCATCAACCAAAGACAAGTTATCCTCGACCTTGTTTTATCCCCGGTGGAACTTACAGTGATGGTAGCCGTTGATATATTGATCCCACCTGATGTTCATCATCCTCCTCTTGAAACTTCAATTTAATATAAGATGCTCCTGGAGAAGAGTATTATTATGATTTTCGCCACGCCAATTTTGAGGGTATATGCCAATGTTTGGAGGCAATGGATTGGGATGTGCTTCTTCAAGGAAAGGAACTTTCAGAAATGATTCTTACTTTTTATGACGCTTTGTACTTGGTAATTGAGTTATTTGTTCCCTTAAAGAAATTTGTTTTAAACAGATTCCCACATTGGTATTCTTTTCAACTCAGAAGCTTGGTTAACGATAAAAAGGTTGCACATAAGATTTACAAGCTAAGCAGGACTCCCCAAAATTATGAAATATTCAGTTAGTTAAGATCACAATGCAGGATTATATCTAGAGAATGCTATTCAAATTACATACATTCTGTTGAAACTTCTGTTAAAAGTAATGTTAAAGCCTTTTGGAATCTAATAACACCATACCTGATAATATGAACCTTGAATACTCTTTTGCTTCTTGTGGCAGTGAAGTATCAAATTTGTTTGCCAAGCATTTTTCATCAGTTTACACTACAAAATCTAAATCAAAATTTTAACGATATTGAATCAAAACTTAATGTTTCCTCTTACCACATTCCTATTTCGACCATTCACGAAAAATCTAATCTTGACATAAAGAAAGGTCCAGGTCCTGACATTATTCCCCCCATCCTACTCAGAAATTGCAGCTTCGTATTGTCCCGCCCTCTCTTCTATATTTTCAATAAATCTATCGCCACAGGTGAGTTTCCAGATTATTGGAAACTATCTTATGTCACCCCAATATACAAATCGGGTAGCAAGTCAGACGTCAAAAATTACCGACCTATATCTATTAATTCTCAGTACTATACCTAAGGTTTTTGAGAACATTATAACAGACTACCTTACCTATGACTGCTCTGGCATCATAACGCATCATCAATATGGTTTTTGTGCTGGGAAATCGACTGAATTAAATCTAGTTACCTACGTCGACTTCCTGTCGGAAGCTTTGGAGAAGGGTTGCCAGATTGATTCTGTGTACACTGACTTTTCTAAGGCTTTTGACAGGGTCAACCATTCTCTCTTACTTCAAAAGCTCGATAAATATGGCATAAATGGGGTCTTACTGCAATGGATTAATAGCTATCTTACGAACAGAACTCAAATGGTTAGAGTAAACCATCACTATTCAAACTCATTTCAAGTTACCTCAGGTGTTCCTCAAGGATCACACCTTGGTCCCTTATTATTCAACTTATTTATAAATGACATCATTCATTGTTTTCAGTATGGCAAAGGACTATTGTTTGCAGATGATTTAAAAGTTTTCCTAACTATTAAAACCATTTATGATGCCCTCTAGCTTCAGTCTGACCTTGATAATCTATCAAACTGGTGTGCCTTGGATTTGAATGCTATAAAGTGCCATGTCATGCGCTTTTATCGATCCCATTTACCAACTACTACTTTTGATTATAACTTAAATGGTCATATCTTGGAGTCTGTTAATCAAATTAAAGATCTAAAGATCTTGGAGTTATTCTAGATCCCACTTTAAGCTTCAATCAACACATACCTAAGGCTATCCATAAATCCATGAAAATGTTAGGTTTTATCAAAAGGCTAACACATGATTTTACTGACACAACTGCAATTAAAGTCCTTCATTGTTCACTAGTCCGACCTCACCTAGATTATTGCTCTTCTGTCTGGTCTCCACATTACATAACGCACAGCAGAAACATAGAAAATGTGCAACATAAATTTCTTAGATACATAGCCTATAAATTGGGTGGCCAGTATGATTTGATTGAGAATTTTTTAAACATCCCCTCTTTGGAAACTAGGAGAAAACAGACCTGACATTACTTTTCAAAATTATCAATGGCAGATGCAGCTGTACTGAACTTCTAACTAAAATAAATATTTATGTTCCAACGCGCTCAACTCGACAGCAACAAACATTTTATTCAACCTTATTGTCTTTTAAATTCTTAACCTATTTTATGAATTATATCATTGTATTTCAGCACCACATATATTTCACTACAATTTAATTATAATTTTAAATTTGTAATTTATTTCTCAAATGGGCTTGCCCGTAAATAAATAAAATGACATTACTCCCCTCAATGTAATAATTGACTGTTCCGCCTACTGAAAGGCCTTGACAATTTAATAATTTTAAAATCTTTTATTATTCATTCCTTTCCAGTTGTTAAAAAATCTTTCTAACATTTTACGCCAATGGAACATTTATCGACTTTTCTAAGAAGAATTTACTGCGCACACTATTTATATACCGAATTATCGTAAGAGCCCAGCGTGAGTTATAATAACTCACTGTTAAAACTCACGCTATTTGTTTATTGATACTATTAATTGCTCAAAAGCAGTTGAATAATTAATATATAAATTAATAAGAGTAGATAAAAACTATAACACCAGAACAAAGTTCAAAAATAAAAATATAAACACCACTAAATAACAATAAAATATTAGATTTTTTAAGTAGAATATTTTCTGTCAATTCACTTTTTCATTCCGTGACGTCACTGCGTCCTTAGCAACTGTGATGAGGCCACCGTGATGTCTACGAACCGTGGGTCCGGTTTGCATTTAAAGGCATTTCTTTATAAGCTTACTACAACATACTTGGTTACAGTATTGTGGTTAATGTGGTAACATTACGCATACCATGGTTTCCCTATTATTGAATGTCAAATTTAATTTAAGTTTGGGGATTTCTAAACGGAATTTTAGAAATTTTAGGATGTTTTGACTTTGTTATTTTTTATTATAGTATGTTCTAGTAAGGTTATAAATAAATGCCTCGTTAGATATAGCTACATATGCTTTGGTAACATGTAACCAAAGCCGAGTAACCAAACGTTATAAAGAAATGCTCTGGTTACAGAAGTATGTTCTGGTAAGCTTATAAAGAAATGCCTTAAGTGTAGAAACTGCAAAAATATATGTCAAGTAGGGAGCAGAGTCTAGATGAGTAGGTATGCATTTAAATTAATAGTATAAACTTTTCATAATTTCTTATGTTTCTGGGAATAATTAATATGAGCGCTTATACTTTCAAGAAGATCAGTACAATAAATGTTTTTTTTTACAACGAAACCGTAAGCCATTTGAAATATGAAGAAAATCTTGTTGCGTATTCTAGAGTTCTTTAGTAATAAAAATCGGTTTGAGTTTTAAAAAGTTATTGAAGGTTAAATTTAACCAACATATTTCTTGTTTGTCTTTACCAGGAATCAAACACTAAATACTATGTATGCGACGTTACAATTCATTTGTTTTGATTATTTTCTTTGATAAGTAAGGTTTAATTTTATTATTTTTGTTTTTTAAGTGTGTACGGGTTATTGGAATATATTTTCTAATAAAATTAATTACTTTTCATAAAAAAAACCTTAATGCGACTTTATTTACTTTTCTTTAAATTGAATCCATATTAATTATTACAGTTGCTAATGTGTTTTGATAGATATATGCTGTGTTTGAATATCCACATCCTATGCATTTTTTTACATCTCGAGCGTTTGTTTATCCACATTGGACAAATCTGTCCTACTACATTTACGTATATTGAATCAAACAGCAATAAAATTACTTCTAGTAGTTCTAGTGGGTATGTTATAAGTGTTGTAGACAAAGTGGGGAGGACCTGGCACAATATTTCCTGAAGGATCTTTGCCTGTGTACAAGGTCGTCGGCTTTGTATACCCACATCTTTGAGGAAGCTATAAATCAAAGGTTATTCCGTTTTAAAATAGAACTTGTATTTTTAGGAGGTATTGGTGCAAAAAGATTCTGTTCATCTCTGGATCTTGGTAATTATTGCAACTACGTGAAGCAACCTGGAGATATTTTGGACTACAGAACTTGTGTATATACTTGTACAGGAGATGGGTGCAATCCAGCAAATAATTTGAAGCCATATTCTGTTCTTTCATTTGTCACAGCATTGGGGATTTTTATATTTAGATTAAACTAATTTTTATTCTTGAATATTGTAAAGTTATTTTAGAGGAAATATATTTTTGTTTTTTTTTATCATCGTTCTCGAAAATATTTTTAAATAGCTTTGTGTTCAAAAAATTTTTTATACACGGGACCAAAATGTAAAAAGTACATATTATGACGTGATTATTATTGTAAATAATACAGTAGTCGAAAGTTTTTATACAGATTAATAAGTAATAAATGAAGGTTGCTATAAAATATTTTGTAATGTACTTGTAAAGGAGATGGGTGCAATCCAGCAAATGATTTGAAGCCATATTCTGTTCTTTCATTTGTTATAGCATTGGAGATTTTTATATTTAGATTAAACTAATCTTTATTCTTGAATATTGTAAAGCTATTTGATAGATTTTTAGAGGAAATATATTTTTGTATTTTTTTTTATCATTCTCGAAAATATTTTTAGTCTTATACTTTGTGTTCAAAAAATGTTTTTTTTTATACACGGGACCAACATGTAAAGAGTAGCTATTATGACGTGATTATTATTTTAAATAATACAGTAGTCGAAAGTTTTTATACAGATTAATAAGTAATAAATGAAGGTTGCTATAAAATATTTTGTAATGTACTTGTAAAGGAGATGGGTGCAATCCAGCAAATGATTTGAAGGCATATTCTGTTCTTTCATTTGTTATAGCATTGGAGATTTTTATATTTAGATTAAACTAATCTTTATTCTTGAATATTGTAAAGCTATTTGATAGATTTTTAGAGGAAATATATTTTTGTATTTTTTTTTATCATTCTCGAAAATATTTTTGGTCTTATACTTTGTGTTCAAAAAATGTTTTTTTTATACACGGGACCAACATGTAAAGAGTAGCTATTATGACGTGATTATTATTGTAAATAATACAGTAGTCTAAAGTTTTTATACTGATTAATTAGTAATAAATTAAGGTTGCTATAAAATATGTTTTAATGTACTTAAAGAAAGCCTTAAATCCCTAATCTGAAAAATATTTATGCAAATATTAATTTATTGACAGTGTACAGTATAAAGCTATAGAAAAATAGATTCAATAACGTATAACTGTCGTCACTACGATAGCCTACTGGAATTCAAATATGTCTTTTAAGTTTATCTTTTAACACGAGTAAAAACCCAAAAAACTGTATATTTTGAAAATAACAAATCTCAAAAATGAAGGACTCAACAATAATGTCCTTTATTTTTGAGATTTCGAAAAAAATGTTATTTTCAAAATATACTTAGTTTTTAATATTTTAAATTACCTTTATTTTTGAGATTTCAAAAAAATGTTATTTGAAAAGCATACTCAGTGTTTTGAGTTTTAATTCGTATTAAAAGGAAAACTTCAACTTAAAAGATATAATAACTGTATAATGTATCAACAGAATAATTTACAGCTAATACCCCAGCAGTTTTTCGTATACCCATATCATAAAACTTTCACGCAGATAGCGTACGACCCTTCTTTCAACATAAATATTTTGGTTTAAACATGCTAAAAAATATAAATAAAACGAATTTCACAGAAATTTCATCAAATAATCCTAACCCTGTTACAGATAATGAACTAATGAAAAGTAATAGTTCTCCAGGTATGATGGAATAAATATATCTGAAAACTACTTTAACATAATAATAAACTTAATTTTTTTGAACGGTGTTGTCCCCAGACCATTTAAATCTTCTATAATTGCAATTCATAAAAAGCTAGAGAAAAATCAAAGGTCTCAAACTATAGACCAATTTTAGTGTGATAATAAATTTTGGAAAGGTTTTTAAAAGTGAAAATAGTGGATTTTTTGATAATATATTACATAAACAGCAGTTTAGATGTAGTGCTGGCAAAGCAACACGTGATATGTTAAGTTATTAACGACATTACAAAGGGTTTAGATGACAATACAAAATGTATAGCAGTTTTTTCTGGATTTGACGCTTAACCATGAAAAGCTCTGTAACGTTCTAGAATCGTAGGCATAGTGTTGGATATTTTTAAGAGTTACTTCACAAATTGGGAACAATGCGTTAAAGTTAACGATACGATAAGTGAACCGGAATTGTAAAAATAGGGTTGCCTCAGGGTACCGTCCTTGGCCCAGTACTATTTTTGGCATATATCATTACTAAAGGAGACACCTATTGTATCCTACGCGGACGATACAATTGTTATATTTCATGAAAACTCATGGGGTGGAACTAAAGTTGCTATTCAACTGGGTATCGCAAAAATTAAAAAGTTGCTGAATGAGTACAAACTTTCATTAAATGTAAAAAAAAACAAATTATCTCGCCTTTTCTTTAAATGAAACTAATAGACCAGACTACACTAATCATATTTTTTTTACCTATACGGCCTAGAGTCATCGCGGGTTGCTTCGCAAAAAAGTATGCATAAAATGAGAGAAATTAAAAAAAAAACATTTAATTTACAATTTACCTAAACTTTGTGGTCAGAAACCATCACGGATTGCTTTGTAAAAAAAAAATTAAAGATAAAATGAGAGGAATTAGAAAAACACAACTATTTTACCTAACCTGTGCGGCCTGGAGCTATCGCGGGTTGCATCGTAAAAAAATTATATAAAAAGTGAGAAAAGAAAAAACTGAACTAATTTACTATATTGTGCAGGCCATTTAAATTCAATCGATCGCTCACTCACAGTATAGGTAAGTACTTTTTTATTTTTCCTTTTAACCGACTTCAAAAAAGAAGGAGATTCTCAATGTAAAATGCATTGAAAATAAACGTGTTTCATGTCTAAAAAAAAGTAAGTCTTTATTTTAAGAACAACCCATGTATTTACGTACTTTTTGCTTTCAATGTAAATTCAGTCTACAACAGATCATATTTGTTAGTTCGAAGATAATGAAATTGAAAGGATTTTATAACTAGTTATTAAAAAAAAAAACAGTTTGGTCTACAGGCTTTATTTCATATTTCTGTCAAAAATAAAATTTATCCTGACAAAAACCGAATCTACATGGTAGTAGTTATTAATAATGCAAAAATATGTTTGACATCCATTCTTCACAATTACAAAATTAATTAACATCAAAAGAATGGATTCTGATGGATTGATTACAGAAAATTATATTTGACAAAATTCAAAACAATAATAGACTGTATCAGATCCGTATGTAAATAATTGTGCTAAATAACACAGCTTTTAATTAATTACGAAAAATTTCGATTTAACAAAATTAACACACTAAAATTATCTTTACATATTTTTTTCTACACCCACATTATACTATCTAAACTACACACATCGCCAAAATTCTTGGACCCCCTCGTAAATATTAAAACGAAATATTTATCATGGCTGCTTTTTTGTACATTTAATCTTTATTTATTTCATCGTTGATACGCATCTAAAAATGTTTATAAAAACAATTTCCCACAATTTTAGGTATCAATGTTTAAAAAGTGGTTCATATCGATTTTGCGTGTTTAAGTGATTGTTGTTTTTCTTTGCAACTATGCCTGGCAATAGAATTTCAGTGTTCAATAGAGCAAGAATAGTGGCTTTGCATGATGAGGGTCTGCCGAATCATCGAATCGCAGATAGGCTAGGGATTCCCCGTGCTTCAGTTATCCGAATAGTGCATGTTTGTACCAGGAAACTAACAGCGTTGACTGGGCATCCTAGGGTAACTAATCCAAGAGAAGATCGGTATGTAGCAGGTTATGTACGTCGGAATTGAACCGTAACAGTCTCAGCTGTCCGAACTCATTTTAGAAGAACGTATGATCGATTCATTTCAGTACCACAATACGGCGGAGACTTGCTAAAGCCAATTTACGATCTAGGAGACCATTAAGAGTACCCAGGTTACTTCCCAGACATATAGCTGCTCGTCTACAGTAGGCACAGGAACACAGAGACTGGCTTTTAGCTCAGTGACGAAATGTTCTTTTTTCGGACGAAACCAGATTTGGTTTAATTAGTGATAGTCAGCGATACAGAGTTTGGAGAGGGCCAGGGCGACCAGAAAGACTATCTTTTGCCAGAGAAGTTGTTCCATACCAACGAGGAACAGTGAGGTTTTGGGGTGGCATAATGCATGGTCGTCGTACGCAGCTTATTCCCATTCCAGACACTATGACAGCCGATAGATATGGTCGAAACATTATTGAACCCATTATTTATCCTCTCCGAAATGAAATTGGAGCTAATTTTATTTTCATGGATGACAATGCTAGGCCCCATTGCACGAGAAGGGTACAAAATGCACTAGAAATTCAGAATATTCAAAGATAACCGTGGCCAGCAAATTCGCCAGATATGAATCCCATTGAGCACATGTGGAATTTCGTTGGACGAGCAATCTCAAACAGAATTAATCCTCCAGGAACTCACAGTCGCGGCCCAAGAAGAATGGAGCAACATCTCAATGGATTACAATAACACCCTTATTGCTTCCATGAACAGGCGAGTTAATACCTTACTACAAAACAGGAGAAAACACACCGAATATTAATATATTTTTGATTTCGCTCTAAAGTAGTTTTCTTCTAGATTTCAAATTCTAGTAATAGTTTTATTATGCACTATTTTTCATTTGTATTTTTTCTTGTTCAGTTAAAATTTAATTCTGCCAATTTTTATTGGATACATAACCAAAATAAATGTACTATGTAACACACCTCTTGACTTTTAATAATAGTGTCTCATTTTGACAAACATATGGGGGTCCAAGAATTTTGGCGATGTGTGTACATAATTGAATACATAGGCCAGTCTAGTAAAAGGATATATTTTCAAATCCTTTCTAGTATGTATACGAAATTCACAAATCACAGTTCATGTTTATTTAGTACCCCGCTAACTATTCTTTTTTTTTTTATTTTAATTTAGTGAGAATTCTGTCAAACTAATTGTTAGTATATTTTTTTAGTTATTAAGGTAAAATAAATATGATTGATTTCAGTGAAGAATCGATACCTTATTCACTTATATCTGCAAATAAAAATAATTTTAATAAAATTATCTAAAACCAAACAAATTAACATTAAATAAAAGTAGACAGTGAACTGGTTTACGTAGTTAATTACCAAGTGAAAGGTTCAAACCCGGAAGATAAAATTTTACAAATTAGTCATAAATTTAAATATTTTTATTATTTTTAATATATTAATGTTAATAACTTTTTTTGGGGTGTAGAAAAAATATACTGCACAACTCGAGCCGAATGTCCGGATCGCGTTCGACGATTTAACACTCCGCCAACATCGCGTCGTCGTGAGATATGGCAACCGTATCCACTGTTGCACAAACTATGGAGTGATCCACAAAAAATGTTTCTATAGTAAGCATAGGAAAAATTCACGCATGTCAGAGCGTACAATTCTTATATTTAAGTTCAGAGCCGTGCGTAGTTATAACGAACATGACTTCTATCTTTGTCTTTGTTGGCCACTGTTATCTTTAGAAACATTTTTTATGAATTACATTTTCATCCATCAGAATCAATATTATAATTTTTATTTTCACTTTACACATACATAACTTTAAAGCTACATAATACTGCTTTGTGCCCTATAATATTGGAATAATTTTCTATGCAATTATGTAAGCTACCTCTCATATTAATAAGTTTGTATTCTGCTCCATTTTAAAAATTGCAAAAATTATTTCACTATTGCGTTAGCAAGATTATTGTATTTTGAATGCATTGAACTATGATTAAAAAACCTTTAAAGAAAATAAATTACAAGATAAAAAAATCTTTTTGATATTTTTATTATACCTTGTCAATTTAAAGAAACGACATGAAGTTTATATTACTCCAAGCGTAAAAATATGTCATAAAAATTACATAAAAATCTCAAAATGACTAAAAATTAATAAATAGAATTGACAAACCAGTGTTTTAAGTATTATTTAATTGTAAGCCTTTTACTTTTAGCAGTTCTATTAAGCTATTAGCTAAGTAGATGATGATTTGGCAAAAATGTATGCCTTGCAAAGATTTATTATTAATAAAAAGATCATTTAAAAAATTTAAATGAAAAGAATGTTTAGCTTAGATCTTGTGTCCATACCTCATTTGATTGCCAAATGTCTAAGAAATTACATCCGATTGGACAATTTGGCATATTAGAAGCACTTCTATTGAACAGAAAATCGATTTGTGTTTGATGATCATTACTTAGTAGACACTAGACAAATTCGGAAAATAAACTTTTCAACATCTATGGACGCAATAGATAAAAAAGAACGAGTGTAGTCCAACATTGTGCGATTTAGAAAAATAATTTTGTGTAAAAAAAGGGGAGAGTTCAGTAACCATATGAAATAATAGATTAATATATTCACCGTTATTATCACATAAAACTAATTTTATGTGCTAGTGATTTTATGCAGGATTGATTTTATATGGATCTGATTTTATGCGGGTTTTATATGGATATGAAATTTGAATTAAGCCACTGATCCGAATAAATTTAATGTAAACTTGAAGGCTTCGGGTCAAAATCACAATGCTGTTAAGCATTAATGGGTGTATTTTCACAAACGTTGTGGTTATGGCTTAACTAATGATTTTCTTGATTTGAATCGTAAAAACGTGATATGCTAAGCACTGAGATCTTCCAATGTCTTTCCCGTCCTTGTTTTTCCCTTGTTTTTTCTAATGCGTTCTTTTTTGCACTCATTGTATTCATTATCTACAAGGTTTCTTTTTCGAACCTGTATAATAACAAATCTTTGTGTCGCGTTATAGAACAGCGATTCTTGTATTCAAACGCCATAAGTTTTGTTAAGATGTGAAATAAATATATTTTCAATAAAAAAATATTGTAAAAAATTATAGAGTATCACAGAATATTTTCGCTAAGATTAATGGTTTTTAAATAAAATTTAATAAGAAAATTAAAATCTGATAAAATTGGCAATTACTGATTGGTAAATCGACCAATGTGTTTAATTTTTTGTCATTCTACAGCAATATGCGTAACTTAGAGAATATATTCCAGAACACCCTGTTCCTCTAAAAAAAAACTTAACCTAATTTTTTTGTAAAGTTTAAATAATCACATCAAGTTGTAAACTTAATATTAAAAAAAATACTATGAAAAAGATACTTTCATGGTAACTTGGCAAACACTTAAATAACTAATTAATTTAAATTAAACGTAAACTACATAAAAACATATGTATAAAAATACAACAAAATAGAACACTAAATAAAAATAGGATAAAATAATTCAATGGAAAATATTACTTTTTATTAAGTAACCTCCTAATTTGGTCTTCAAGCTCTGTAACTCGTTGTTCACTATTTATCAATTGTTTCTTTAGTTTTCTTATTTCTTCACTTTGTAACTGGTATGCTCTTCTTAACTAAAATGATAAATATATTAGCAAAAAAAAACCTAAACTGGTAAGAACATTTAACTGAATAAAAGGAGTTGGACATTATTTGTCCTTGTCCACCGCGATCTTTTCAGATTATCTTAGGACATTTAACTGATGGAATATGAAAAATTATTTTTAAACACTTGTAGCCCTATGATTAAATACAGATGGTGAAAATAAGGATGTTTCCTAAACATATGGTATACATTTAAGGGTCAAAATAAGAAGAAAAAAAAAACAGTCGATATAAATATATATTCAGAATCGCGCCATTTTCAAAATATAGGGTGTTTCCAGGTATTTTTTTAAAACTGTTTTTTATTACTATCTGAAATATGCTCAAGCCTATTTCATTAAATTTTTTACCTTTTCTTAATTCTCTTTACATATTAGCTTTGATTAAAAAATTCCGGTGGCGTGTCCATGGGATAGCCGGTTTGTAATATTGTAATATTACACAATCATAATAACACCCAGTAAATTTTTAATTTTCGAGAAAAACAAAAAAATTCACTTTTGCACGTCTCCGAAGTAACTAAGTAACTTTTTTTCTAATTTTGACCCAACTGGTAGTCCCTTGAAGGTTAAATGACCTCGCAGTTTCCTTATAGCAAATGGCCTTTGGTCGAACTTGTTAAATTTTATATACAGGGTGTTCCAATGAAAAGAAGCCCATTTCCAGAGCTTATAACTTTTAAACACCTAATCGTAGAAACGTGCGGTTTTTGCTGGTATGCGTTATTTTGCTATAAGTTTTGCTTCAGTGACACAGAAATTATGTATTACCTATAGAGCGTGTTTTTTAAAAATCTCTTTTAAATTCACCATAACCAAATTTTATCAAATGGAACATCCTGTATATGTTTAGGTCATCAGAAAGATACACTTTTCTACTTTTGAAAAATGTATAATTTGTACAGGGTGTTCCATTTGATAAAATTTGGTTACAGTGAATTTAAGAGATTTATAAAAAACACCCTGTATAAGTAATACATAATTTCTGTGTCACTCAACCAAAACTTATAGCAGCGAAAACTGCACGTTTCTACGATTAGGCGCTTAAAAGTTATAAGCCCTGGAAACTGGCGGCCTACTTTTCATTGGGACACCCTGTATAATAATGCAGTTTTTGACCACCGATTGAAAGTGTTTATGGGTACAAAGTTCTCCTTTGAGTAGTTTTTAAAATACAGTGTTAAACTTGTCAATACTTATAATTTTCAAAAATACTTTAAGACATAAATGTTGTTATTTGGCTGATATTCATAAATATTAAAAGTTACGGTTTGACTATATAGGTAGAGTAATTTTTTAAATGAAAATAAAAAACTGCATATTTAAAATTCATTTAATGTATGTTGAAAAATAAAAACGAATTTGAAGAATAAACGTCTTATTTCTTTGTTAGGTCAGAAACCCTCGTATTTTCCATGGGCACAACTCAATACTTTTTTTTCATACACAGTGTTTTGAAGTAGCAAATTGGTAATTTTTTAAGGCCGTGGTTCTTAACAAAGTACTTTCATTACATATTTTCTCCAAGATTAACGTTTCACTGCTTCCTTATGTGACCTTAGATTATACAAACCGTAAATGAACATGCAACCACTTTGACACTTCTCTCACCGACTAATCACGTCACGTGTCAGAGTGTTCATACAAATGTCATTAAAATTTATAGGACAACGAGAATTAATTTTATATTAGTGACTTAAATTGTGGAAATTAACATTAAAAATGCCAAGGTGTGTTGTAAAGAACTGTATGTATAATAAAAGTACAAAGTGTGAAGCTGATAAAGAAATCCTACATTTATTTCGGCAAGTTATTTAATTGAGGGTCATACTTCGGACGTATCAATTATTAATACACGTTATTTTTTTATTTTATTGTTTACTATTTCTTGTTTTATTGGGAATCTTTTTTCAAGAAGTGGAAAGTAACATGTATGTTAATTTTAGCCTTTTTCGGTTCTAATGATTTAAATATGTTTATTAAATAAAAGTGGATTAGGCGTAATGGGGAAAAGAAGCACGATGAACTTTATCTTCTCGGGGTTACCTATTGTAAGTTTGACACTTCATTGGAAAGCTAAATATATTAATTTAATTCACAATATAACATGAAACAATTTAATGAAACATGAACTTAAATAATTAAAAAATAGTGCATATTTCGAACGTTAAGAAATACAACCTTTAATCGCAATCAACTAAAATAACAAATCATTTACACCCGTATGCACCGTACACGTTTAATCTAGATCAAGGGTTTAATCGCGTTTAGTACCATTTTTAGCTATGGCACTAAACGCGATTAAACCCTTGATCTGGATTAAACGTGTACGGTGCATACGGGCGTAAATCACTAATAAAATTAGCTTTGAAGTGAAGTGTTTCACTTTACAATATGTAACAGTTTTTCGTTCCTCTAGAGGGCGCTAAAATCAAATGTAAAGTGGCGGTGGGAAACAGTAACAAAGCCTACACAGAACACGAGGCGAAATAACCTTAGCAGTTGAAGCCAACACACAAAAAAAATAGTCACAATGTTGAATTTTACATTATATTGTTAGAAGCTGACCTTGTCATTAATATTAGCCATAAAGAATATACCATCCCTGTGAATAACTTGTAAATCACTTTTAAATTTTTCAATATTTAGATTCTTAAATTTCCTTTTAATATTGAATTTCTTTATCGATTTATTAATATTTAGTGTGCAATGAGGCATCATATTATTATGATCAGTGGAAGGGGATGGTGGTGCTGTCTTGACAAATGTCTTTGCAATAAATGAAGATGATATCTAGTAATGTGACACAATTTTCAGAAATACAAGTTGACTCAGTAATAACATTAACATAGCCATAGGTGTTAAGTAGATTTAGGGTAGAATTAGGTTCTAACATATCTACGTTCAAATCACCAGTAATATTAGAGTAATCTGATTGAGAAAAGGGAATTTGTATTAGAAAAACAAAAAAGAAAAAGTAAGAATTAAACCCAATTTAACTTTAATATTATGTTAAGTAACTAACAGTAAAGTCTTTTTCTCTTGAGTACCTGTTTACAAATAATCAAGGGTTTTCCATTTTACATCAGTAGCCTAATGTTCAATAGGGTATTTAGTTTTGTGCTTTGAATCATAATGTATATGGTTTATAATCTATCTATATATATTTTAAAATGTTTTGGGATCTATTATTTTTTGACCTCGATAAAATTTTATTAAAAACAACTTATTAATTCACCCTACCCTGTATAATATTTATTAAATAAACCGAGACTATTTTAGGGTGATATTTATTCGGAGAATTTTCCAATTTAAGAAATAAAATAAAATGTTCACTAATTTGTGACTCACCCTGTAAATAATAATAGATTATTTTGGAAACATCAATAAAGCATTATTATCGAAAAATATCTGTAACCTCAAAGTAATATGTTAAGCGCGCTCTTTTTTAAAAATTGTAATAAATTCATTATAATAGAAGTAGTTGGTTTTTCGAAAAAATGCTCGGACAGGTCAATTTTGTTTACTCAAAGCGCAATTTTTTAAATAGAATTCAATTTTCCCCCAGTTTCCGTTTTTAGACAGTGACGTCATTGACAATTTTTTTAAATAGTAACCCCAATTTGTTTTTCTTGATTTTGAAAGATCTTGCAATTTCCTACTGGGAAACATAATATTTGAAATATCTGACATAAAATTTTTTTGAATAAAAGTCATTTAAAGATCAGATACATAAATTTTATTTTATTTTGAAACATAATAAATGAATAAAAGATTTTATGTAATTAAGTGCTTCATCTAAAAAAATAATCATAATAATAATAATAATAATAATAATAATAATAATAATAATAATAATAATAATAATAATAATAATAATAATAATAATAATAATAATAATAATAATAATAAAAAGAATTTAATGACAATTTCACAAATTCTTTATTATTATTATTATTATTATTATTATTATTATTTTGTTAGAATAAGCACTTAATTACAAATAATTATCTTTTATTCATTTATTGTGTTCTCAAAATAAAATAAAATTTATGTGTCTGATCTTTAAATGACTTTTATTCAAAAAAAATTGTTATATAAGATATTTTAAATATTATGTTTTCGAGTAGGAAATTGCAAGATCTATCAAAATCAAGAAAAAAAATTTGGGGTTTCTATTTGAAAAAATTGTCATTGACGTCACTGCCCAAAAATGGGAAGTGGGGGAAAATTGAATTCTATTTAAAAAATTGGGCTTTGAGTAAACAAAATTGACCTGTCCGAGCATTTTTTCGAAAAACCAACTACTTCCATTATAATGAATTTATTCCTTTCATTTGAACCATACTGTATATCAAAAACCAGTCATAGGATTGAGTTGTGTTCATAGATAGTATTGTTCAGGAAATTCACAAGGGCAACCAAAAATTCAGGACATTCAAACTAGATACTTACATCATTTTCAGTAAGAATAGTATCTCCAATACTATTAACCTCTTTAATCAAACGAACATCTTGATGATTGTTGATTTCGATCTGATTAAACTTCTGTTGTAATTTTTGGAATGTTTCATTGTTTGAAGTTTTTCGACTTTTTTCTAGCATTATGAGATCTTTGGGTCTGTAGTCGGGTATGGTTTCCTTTGAAAGAAAAGCGAATTTTCTTCTGTTGTTGTCCGTTTTCTGCGGTTCAATAATTGGTTTGGTTGTTAGGTTGCGTTGTTTTTGTTTAATCGAAGTTATGTTTAATTCGTTTTGTTCACCTAAAAAAATAAAAAAATGTGTGATCTTCCTAGATAGAAAATAAACAATTAATTGTAATGTACATTCAAAATGCTGATTTAATTTAAAAATAAAATTAAGTTAGTTTTTGTCTTGAATCTTACCAGTTTGCATGGAGATTAGCAAAGGCATAGCGTTTTTGCCTCTAATCCATTCATGAGCTGACAAAGCAGGCTTGGAACCGGCAGTGTCAGGGTACAAATCATCATGGAATTGATCACTTTTTCTTGGTACTATCATACCAATAGGTTCGCACATTCCTTTGGTAGCGTGGAGTTTGTAAAATCGGAATACTTCACACTGCGCTATCCTAAGACCCCTCTTTGGCATAAAACCCAAACCTCGCTAAAAAAATATAACTTTTAATATGATTATCATATCTGGAATTTTGATAAACGTACTTGAGGATTTCCAGACAAAAATTGATTTAAAAAGTGGACATAAGGAGCCTCGTCTGTAACTTCGTAATACCTAATATTGCCATCTCCTTTGCCAGCTAAATAAACCATATTGGTATCAGGATCGAAAAATGGAAAGACAACACCCGAAGAACTATCTATGCTATCGGTAAATAATGGTCGAGAGAGATCAGATTCGTTCCAAACAGAGTACTGCCTATCGGAATGCCGAGAAAAACCAGTGGTTAAAAGGCGACCCGTTGATCCTAAGTACACGACCTTGCTTGCTTTCGATCCTGAATGGCACATTCCTTCCTAAAAAATTAAATAAATATACTTTAGGTAAGTATATGTCTTCTTATATTTTACCGCTTGAACTCTGCCAGTCCTGGGCTCTATAATCCTCAATTTTTTGTCCTTGCACGTGGTAGCCAATAAACTACCGTCTCTGTTCAATGACATGGAATGTATGGCATCTCTGTGACAATCTATGATGTTGATAGCTTCTCCCTTTTCTATATCCCATACAATTACCTAAACATTTTTAAATTTATAAACTTAATTTAGAAACTACAAAAGGTATAAAATGCTCGAGGCGGTTTCGGTGTATAAAGCCCCAAATCTAAATGACGTTGCTACTGAACCACCTGGACTGGAAGCTGCTGCCTCAAAACTTAGCTCACAAGGTATAAGATTATTGACTGTCTTATTTGATGTGGATCGATAACACCATTTAAAAATGTTTTGTCATACATCTCAAACCGGGGACATTTGGCCATTAGAAATTGTCCAATTAATTATAAAAAAGGACCAACATTTACGCCACAAAGTATAAAAACAAAAATTATCGGATTTGGTGCGGAAAGGGCCACTTAATCTAAAACAGCGCAAGACAAAATATTTTGGGACTTTCTGCCCGTAAGACAGATTTAAAAAAAAAAAGACAAATCTACGTCATAAGGTATAAAAACAATTATTTTATGTCGGATTGTTCCTTACAAAATGTATCTGACAGAAATTTACGTCATAATGTGTAAAAACAATTTTATGCCGGATTGTTGCTTACTAAGGGTCGGTCTTTTCACCTTCAGATAAAATGCCAGGTAATTTTTATCTCTCAGATAACTTAAAAACTCATCTTTTCATTTCTAGATAAACTAACTGAGAGATAAATTGGTCTCATCTGAAAGGTAATTTACCTTACCTATAAAGTTCCTGATAAAGTACATAACTGATGGATAAATAAGAATTTGACATATATGACACTTATGTCATCATATTATTTCTTCGAGTATTAAGTACTTGTCATAGATGTAGTTTATTTTCTATCATGTATTTACCTAGAAACTATTCGTAAGGTAAAATAATTGTAGACTTAGTTGGTTTAAGACAAGTGTTTTTGGAACAGAGGGCCAATATTTAAGTCATAAGGTATAAGAATAAAACCAAGACGAAAAACTACTAGACTAATCCATTCATTCTTAATTAAGTGCTTTTTTATTGCAATCATTTAGATTCTGTTAATTATTACGCAGACAGAGCTGCCACATTAGAAAGAAGGAAACAGCTGCGAATTTGAATGAGGTAGGTTTGGGCGAGTATGTTTATCTAACTAGCGAGCATGCATTTTATGAATGAATCAATATTTACGTCTGCAACGCTTGCTTTACACTTCAAAATTAATTGCGTACTTTCCTGAAAAACAATATACAACTATAATAGGTGCAAAGAGAAAAATATATTAAACTGATAATAAATGACATTAAGATTGCAACTATACTTCCCTAATGTAATTTTGAAAGCCTTTTTGTACGCATTAGAGCCTTTTAACAATACTCTCCCATACTCTCTAATAATAATTTGACAACTACAAGTATGACACTGGGAATGTTTGCAATTCGATTAAGGGCCATTCGCACCGCTAGTAGTTAAGAAATAAGCGAAGCTTAAAATGACAATATCAATGGAAAAATGTAATTTTAAGCTTGGCTTATTTCTTAACTACTAGCGGTGCGAATGGCACTTAGTCTAGTAGTTGCTCGTCGTTGAATAAAACGAATGTAATTTTGTGTGGAACTGAATCTCTAATTTGGAACAGTTTCGTAAGACAAATATTCGGGAATTTCTGTCCGTAAGACAATTTGTAATTTAAAAAAAAAGAGAAATTTACGTCATAAGGTGTAAAAACGAAAAGAAGTAGAAGGGGTCTTAAATTCAGAGTATTCTAATAAAGAATCAGAAGAAGCCTGAATGGTAATAATCATAAGTTTTTTTTATTTTGTCAGATAACTAGTATATTTACATTTTATTTTCATAGGTTATGATATGATGTACCGTATATTTTATATAATTTTGTAATAAGAAGTAAGAAAACACGTATATTTACTTTTTGAAGTCAACCTTTACTTTACTGCTTAAATTTACTTAACGAGCTCTATTATTATAAAGATTAGTTTCTATAAACGACAAGAGGTAAAGGAAATTGGGCAGAAATGTATGGGAAATTTCCCCACCCCCAAAAAGATAAGCTGCATACCAATTGAAAGATCTTTTTAAGGAGAAGATTTCATTACAACTCAATTACTCTCAATTACTTGTTCGTTTCGAATTATATCATCCTAAATGTAACTAATTACATGCAAATAATAGTAATTAATACTTCTTAGTAATATAAAAACAATTATAATTTCTGGGTATATCATATGATGCAGTTGAGGATTGTATCCTCCACGTGTATCCCTTACCAGAAGGTATCTACTTGTTGGCTAAACGGCCCCATGTATGCCTTCCAAAGGACCGGGCCCAATGACCCGTGGCTAAGGTAATGGACAAACAATAATAAAATTATTATAATTTTTAATACCCCAATTATATTAGAACGAATATAAAGCCAATTGTAACACATACAGGGTGGGCTATCCAAAAGTGAAAATTAAATCATCTATATAATTAAAATTGGTCACAAAAATATTTGTAAATAAGACTGTGATCTCTAAGGTGACATCCAGACTGGTGTGAGAATTCTGGGAACAACTTATGCATATGGCAGGACAGAATGCATAAAAAACTTTTGTCAAGAAACACAGTACGAGCACAGGTTTGAAGGTGGATCAAGCATGAACGGAGGACCTACTGGATACAGAGGCACACAAACACATAGGAATGACGTCAGGAAGGGGTAAGGTAAATAGGCGGCGCTTGCCCCCCCCCCCCGGTTCCATTATTCACGTGTAATAAACTTATTGAAATAAATATTAGTAGGTACATGTAGCGTCTCTTACACCACGTACTATTTTTTTTTTCTTTTCAGTAATTATGTTGATAGATTAATCTTGTGACAAATAAATTGGACATGGATCTCAATCTGATTTCCTACCAATATTACAGAACTTAAGTTTCTATGACATTGGGAGGTTTTCTGGTCGTGGTTTCATCCGATAGAGGGCAGACAGAAAAAAAAAACAAGATTATTTTTTTAACGTCAACGTATTTTTACTGATTTTTGAACCTGTTAACAATTTTGTATTGTTAGAAGGAGTTTCTTTATACAAGGTGTTCCTAAACATCATGTCATAATTGAAGGAAGTAATTCCTTGACTCATAGTATGACTTAAAGTTCATATAAACATGTGTCCTAAATTGCTTTGTGTAGAAGATACAGGGTGTCAAAATTTTCAAAAATAATCAGTTTTTCATCAGTATCATAAATACTCTTTTGCCAATTTTGATGAAATTTGGTACATTTTATCCAATCTGATTCCATGGAAATGCTATAATTTGTTTGCATGGTCCACTTGACATTTTGTTCATTTTAAGATTTTCTGCAGGCCCTGTACTCCCATTCTCGAATATGTGATGAGAAATATGAAGCGAACGTTTAACAAAAATGACTTTTTTTATTGAGATTATCAGCATAAGTTATGTTAGAAAATTTTAGTCGTAATAATTTTTGGATCGAAGACCCATTATTGGCGTGCAATCAAACAGTTTTTATTTTTTAACTCGATAAAAACACGAAAAATAGAAAAAGTTTAAGAGATAAAAAAGATGTGTTTTTGATTGGCGAATTTGAAAAAGAAATGAAAAAAATATGAAAAGTCAGTGGCGAACTTTTTTTTTTTCAAAAATATCAATTAAGTTGCCTTTGGGGACGCCACTGGAATTAATATTTCAGATATATCTAAAATTTGAACACCCTGTATCTTTTAAACAAAGCAATTTAGGACACACGTATATATAAATTTTTAGTCATAAATTGTGCCAAGGAATTACCTCCTTCAATTATGACATGATGTTTTGGGAACACCCTATATATGGAGAGAAGCGAACGTACACTCCCTTTAGTACAATTATTAGTGCTCAAAAATATTTATTATATTCGACTTTGTCTCTTGCTTCTTCCTAAAAATATGCCCGAAGACGCACCTGCCGGGAAGGGAAGGAGAGGGAAGAATTTATGTCAAAACTAGGGTTGCTACCTTTTTGAAAAGTGAATAAAGGTAGGGCTGTCAGATTAACGAAAGGGAAATTTTAAAAAAAACAGGTCTTTCTAGCGAGCTTTTAATAAAAAAAGTCCTCATCAGCTTATGTTTTCAATAAACCCCAGGTCCTCCTGCCAAGCTTAAAAAAAAGTCCTCAGCTTATATTTTTATAAACCAGGTCCTTTTTCTGACGACGAGCTTCTAAAAGGACATTTTAAGGTTTAAAAAATCACAAGGACAATTTTATTTGAAAAAAGAACTGTCCTTTTCAAAAAAAGGACAGATGGCCACCCTATTCAGAACTAGCAAATGAACATTCGGAGATAATATAGATTATTTCCAACAAAAAAAAAACCTGTAATTTATCACATGTAGTATGATACAACTCGGAACCGACATATAATTGATAGAAGTCATAATAAAAACAAATGTTTTTCTTAGCGATATCTTTCATTTGATATATATCTTACTCCTATTAGGGGTGGGGCAAAACGGCCCATTCTCCTTTATAAGAAAATCCGTGTACACATCTGACCGGAATTAGCGGAAGTCATGGAATTTTGAGAAATTTCTTAGAAATTGACCAAACTCAAGATAATTCTATATCAGAAAAATTTGATTTTCCAAATTCTAGTGAAGAGAACCCGGCAAATTAAACAACCAGCAAAATGTAAAAAAAATAACTGAAAAATATTATAGTTTTTTCTACCGAACTGTCTTTGATGTGATTTTAGTTTTCTATATAAAAATTGCAAATATAATTTTTCTTTAGTCCTGAAACTCTTTATGGACTACTAAATACTTTTTTGGAAGACCCTGAGGCCTTTCAGAATTCCTCAAATCTTAAATGTCGTGTCCCTACACAATTTCTCTAATAAATTTACCATTCGATGTTTATTTTATAGAAACCTAATATCTATAATAGCGTGTTAGGTAAATAAGCAGTAAACAAAATCTTACTTCTTAATTAATATAAAATTATATAAAATATACGGTACATAATAACATACGAAAACAAAATGTAAACTTTACGTTATCCAATAATATAAAAAA